CATTTGTGTTCCTCACGTGTGCCCCAAAGAATGAGGTGATTTGGTGAAATGCTATGCCCAAGATTACCATCCGAGTTGCCGTCGGGGAAGTGGCTCAAATAGCCTCGGCTATCACTTCCTTTTGACGGCCGTGATGGTCAAGCGGATTAAGGCGCCCTGTAGTTACCAGTTGCGTTGCTTCTGGGAGTATGGGTTCGAGTCACTTCTGGGGTGTGAGTTTTCATTCGCATATAGTCCTGGGGACCATTCAGGCTTGTTCGCATTTGTGTTCCTCACGTGTGCCCCAAAGAATGAGGTGATTTGGTGAAATGCTATGCCCAAGATTACCATCCGAGTTGCCGTCGGGGAAGTGGCTCAAATAGCCTCGGCTATCACTTCCTTTTGACGGCCGTGATGGTCAAGCGGATTAAGGCGCCCTGTAGTTACCAGTTGCGTTGCTTCTGGGAGTATGGGTTCGAGTCACTTCTGGGGTGTGAGTTTTCCTTCGCATATAGTCCTGGGGACCATTCAGGCTTGTTCGCATTTGTGTTCCTCACGTGTGCCCCAAAGAATGAGGTGATTTGGTGAAATGCTATGCCCAAGATTACCATCCGAGTTGCCGTCGGGGAAGTGGCTCAAATAGCCTCGGCTATCACTTCCTTTTGACGGCCGTGATGGTCAAGCGGATTAAGGCGCCCTGTAGTTACCAGTTGCGTTGCTTCTGGGAGTATGGGTTCGAGTCACTTCTGGGGTGTGAGTTTTCATTCATATATATATATATATATATATATATATATATATATATATGCGAACAAGCCTGAATGGTCCCCAGGACTATATGCGACTGAAAACTCACACCCCAGAAGTGACTCGAACCCATACTCCCAGGAGCAACGCAACTGGTAACTATAGGGCGCTTTAATCCGCTTGACCATCACGGCCGGACAAAAGGAAGTGACAGCCGAAGCTATTTGAACCACTTCCCCGCCGGCAACTCGGATGGTAATCTTGGGCATAGCATTTCACCAAATCACCTCATTCTTTGGGGCACACGTGAGGAACACAAATGCGAACAAGCCTGAATGATCCCCAGGACTATATGCGACTGAAAACTCACACCCCAGAAGTGACTCGAACCCATACTCCCAGGAGCAACGCAACTGGTAACTACAGGGCGCCTTAATCCGCTTGACCATCACGGCCGGACAAAAGAAAGTGATAGCCGAAGCTATTTGAACCACTTCCCCGCCGGCAACTCGGATGGTAATCTTGGGCATAGCATTTCACCAAATCACCTCATTCTTTGGGGCACACGTGAGGAACACAAATGCGAACAAGCCTGCTATCGCTGTATCTATCAATAGATACAGCGATAGATAGGCGGCTTGACGTTTGCGAGGCACTACACATTAAGAAGTCTACACCAGCAATCAACAGCCAATTAATGCACAACTATATTCTACCCACCTCAAGACTCCGCTCCAATATAGAAGCATCAAGAAATATGAACCAATAGGCTTTCTACAATCACTTCCATTTCAATACCCATTGTTTCGTATTCTGTCTTGTGTTGATGAAATTAATACCCTATTAATGCCACCTCTTGTTCTGTCTTGTGTTGATGAAATTAATACCCTATTAATGCCACCTCACCCCATCCACCTCACTCAAATGTAGATATAAACAAAATCGGAGATGTGTAAGTTCTATTCAGTTGTGTATTTGTAAACTAAAGTCTTTGAAAATGTAATAAGTTCTACGAAACGCGCTCGTGTCGCGTCAGACTAGATATAAAAATGAATTTTGGAGAATTGATTTTTGAATTACCTCCAACAGTGAAAAGAAATGTACGAAAGATTGAGAAAATTCGTGTTAGAATTATTAATCTTACTTTTTTGGTCATATTTAATAATATATGTCTACAGGAAAGACTGCTACCAAAATATACTAATATATATATATATATATATATATATATATATATATATATATATATATATATATATATATATATATATATATATATATATATTATTATTAAATATGACCGAAAAAGTAAGATTAATAATTCTAACACGAACTTTCTCAATCTTTCGTACATTTCTTTTCACTGTTGGAGGTAATTTAAAAATCAATTCTCCAAAATTCATTTTTATTTCTAGTCTGACGTGACACTTGAGCGCGTTTCGTAAAACTTATTACATTTTCAAAGACTTTAGTTAACACATACACAACTGAATAGAAATGAACATTAAGGAACATATAATCTCTTCCCACAACCAAACCATCGCCAGAGAAATCCTAGTAAACAACACAGAAATCATCGATAGATACAGCGATAGCAGGCGGCTTGACGTTTGCGAGGCATTACACATCAAGAAGTCAACACCAGCAATCAACAGCCAATTAATGCACAACTATATTCTACCCACCTCAAGACTCCGCTCCAATATAGAAGCATCAAGAAATATGGACCAATAGGCTTTCTACAATCACTTCTATTCAATACCCATTGTTTCATGTTCTGGCTTGTGTTGATGAAATTAATACCTTATTAAATACCACCTCACCCCATCCACCTCACTCAAATGTGATATAAACAAAATCGGAGATGTGTAAGTTCTATTCAGTTGTGTATGTGTTAACTAAAGTCTTTGAAAATGTAATAAGTTTTACGAAACACGCTCAAGTGTCGCGTCAGACTAGAAATAAAAATGAATTTTGGAGAATTGATTTTTAAATTACCTCCAACAGTGAAAAGAAATGTACGAAAGATTGAGAAAATTCGTGTTAGAATTATTAATCTTACTTTTTCGGTCATATTTAATAATATATGTCTACAGGAAAGACTGCTACCAAAATATACTAATATATATATATATATATATATATATATATATATATATATATATATATATATATATCTCTATCTTTGATGGATTTGGCAGCCGACCATGGCGACAGCTGGAGGTGTGAACAGTGTCTCTCCTTCCAACATTCCAGATACCTTTGAGGGTTTTCCGAACCCACTGTTACATGATATGCTTTCTGATCACAACTCTCTCCCGGTCTTAGAGGGAGATCCCGAGGGGTTTTCCTGGACAGTGCACATCACAGTAAGGCGAATAGATTAGAGGCTAAATGCCGCCAGCATCCTCAGATACCCTGTGATTGCCCCGGCCCTACGCAGCCTCAGTATCAACCTCCTCCACTCACTCAAGGTAGGACGAGTTCTCCTGGTTTACAAACGTTCATCATTGCCTTTGATGACGATACGTCCATTCATAGGAGTGGTTTTGGAAATAGTAGGGCACAAAGTCTCCTCTATCATGCCATTCCCAAGTTCTTAAGATCAAGGTGCATGATATCAGACCAAATAAATGAAGGAACTCAATTACAGTGGACCACAATCACAGTGAGGACCTAGCGCTTTCGGATGTTACTGAAATCTGTGGTTACAAAGTCAGATGCTACAACCACTGGGTGACCGGTTAGTGAGGTATGTGGTCTAACATGTTGACATTAGTGCTGACGACATCAAGTCACAATTTCAGGCTGCTGACATTCCAATCTTCAGTGTTAGGAAATTTATGCAGAGGGCAAATGGTGAACTGAGTGATACTGCCACTGCCCTACATACTTTTTCTAGATTATTTTTCCCCTAATCGAGTTTGGATTGACGGCTTCCTCCATTAACTAGAGGGGTACGTTCCCCGTCCCACTCAGTACTTTCGTTATAAAGGTTTTCACCATACCTTGAAAGGCTGCACTAATGACATCAAATGTGGGAAATGCTCTGGTTTCCATTACACACATGACAGTGCATCAGATATACTCTGCTGCTCAAACTGTGGTGGTGCTTATGACATTATCTACAGACAATGTCCTTCGTACATAGCGACACAAACAGGCTCTTCCCACCATCAACCTGCAATACATTCGTGCTCTGCAATGACCTAACTCTGTCCATCATCACTCATTACATCACACTCTGCCGCCCCCTTTGCTTGTGCCTAATCTGTCTGCATCATCATCATTATTATTATTATTATTATTGAAAACTTACTACAATGCTGTAGTGCATTGAATGAAGGTGAAGGAAAGACTCAATATGTGTGTAAAGTGTATTAAAAAACAAATTTTCAGATGTAACCTACATCCTTTCTCAAGGTGCTTTATTCAGTCACTTTGTATATCACCTCTGTATACATCCTCTTGAGAAAGGATGTAGGTTACATCCGAAAATTAGTTTTTAATACACTTACACGTATATTGGGTCTTTCCCTTCACCTTCATTATTATTATTATTATTAATATAATTATTATTATTATTTATAATTAATTCTATAATTACGGATTAATTCTAATTTGTATAATTATAATTAATATAAGTGTCACATATAAGAAAGTTACTTGGTCTAGCTAAATATTCCTTATAATTTATCTTATTTTTTACATATTTTGCTTACTACATCATATATTTTTTTAATTCTCTCCAGCTTTAGCTTAAATCTCTTGTGTCCCATTTGCATTATGGTCATCTGTGTGGTATGTGACAAGCAAAAATTAAGATTCATGCAACACATACTGCAACAACATTCTACAAACACAATTCATAGTTAACTAGGAAATTACAGTATCATTAAAGGTCAAGCTGCATGTTGTTGGTCAGTCTCATGTTCAAGCCATACCTTCAGCTTTGGACAAGAAGGAAACAGGACAGTTGGCCAGAAGAAATTGTCATGGAAAGAAAAAATTGTCATTATTATTTAAAACTTGTCAAATGAGACAGGATAAACCAAGAGTTTAGACAATTTGAAATATAAATGATACACAGATAAATAATGAATCCAAATCATTAAGTAAATTGTAATGAAATGGTTCAATATATAGTGCATTATAATCCAAGGATAGTATCATTATGGTGGTAAAAGGATGCATTATAGTCAAATAATCTAATATAAATTGGTAAAATATAGAGGAAAAAAAATTGTGTTTCTAAGACAAAATAACAAACCTACCAAGTGATGTATCCAGATCCAAGGACTTGCGATGCTGGTGAAGCCGTCTCTTAAGCTCATCAGTCTGCCGCTCCTCTTTCTCATTTTCTTTGAACCATGACTCAATCTTCTGGCGCCAGTTTTTGCTGTTGAGGATTAATTATTGGTTAATTCAATATAGAATAGAAGAGAAAAATGTTATCACAAGTTGAATAATAAAAGTAATTTAACTATTAACCAACACTTCAGCCACTAACAAATATGGAGGAAATATTCCAAGATGAATTAAGAGCAGAAGCTATAGCTAATAAAGAAATTGCAAAGTGCCATCTCTAATGATATTGATTCATTATTAAATTCATTAAATCTAACATCACAAGCAGAAGGAGAACAACTAATAGACATGGTACAGGATTACTTTTTCATACAGCATGTGGTAGAGCCCACATGAGGTAACAGCATTTTAGATCTTGTAACTGACATCAGAAGAGGGCTTGAATGATTAAATTTAGGTGGGGGAAAAGGCTAACCTTCTCATGAGATCACCATATTTTAAGATGGACTACGAATATAGAAACCCGAATAATGGTAAATATTGATGAATTTCTAGATTACCATAAAGGAGACTATCAGGGAATGGGAGAGGAACTGCAAAACATCTCCTGGAGGGAGCTGATTGGCGAACATGGCATGGCAGCATCATGCCAAAATTTCAAGAGGGTCATCATAGAACTCGTTCAAAAAATCAGCTTTGAATGTAATGAAAAGTCCTTTTCTGGACGAGTTCGGGAGGCTCCCCGGAGCTATCCAGGCTGATATGTATATCGTTAGATTTTGGCATCAGTCAGTGTGAATGGAGTTCTAGGCCTAACAGGAACCATGGCCAGAACATGGCCAGAACTCAGAGAGGCACGAGGAGTAATTGCCTATAGAGATGCACATGTGATTTGGAGCATTCTATATCTGTCATCGACTGAGACAAGCACCCAGAAAGGTAAGTGCCTCAAAACAAACCGCTATTCTGGATAAAATGACTAAAATAGACAGAACTAGTGGACAGAACTCTCCAAATGAAAACGAGCAAACAAGCATGACATCACACGAACCGCGCCACATGTCTACGCAGCTCCCCCCTCCACAGGAGAGGGTAGGGGAAGCCCCAGAACCCCACACTGGCGATTCACCCACCAGTTGGATGTCAAAACATGCGAAAAACCGCCAACCGAATGGAGGGAGGGAGGGTTGCCGGGGAGCCTTACGGGACTCACCCAGAAAATGGTATTTCTTTACATTCAACGATGGTTTTCTGGGGGAAGCCCCTTCAGCTACCCGAAGCTACTTCACCAAAGACGAAAACCAGAGGGACTTACCCGGGAGGCGGTCGGTGCTCACACCTCAACTCGAAGTCGAGACAACAGGCTGCAACTGCCAACCCAAAGCGACACAGGGCCGACTAAGCCCAGGAACATTAACGAGGTAGCATGCAGCCAGGACCTTGTTCGACCACCAAAAATCTCTCACCCGAATGTCAGCCAAGGACATGTTACCAAAGACGGCAGCAAGCACAGCATTTTTCTCTAGAAAAGAATGAGATGGCTGCAAACAAACAAACCTATCATCTTGACTAAAAGTGCAGAAACCCCTGCGCTGGAGAAGAGCACGAAGCTTCCCAACAAGACCCCCCAGAGGCCAATGCCAACAAAAAAAAAGGGCTTCGGAAAAACAACCCTGAACCGAAGGGGCTACAACAAACCGAGGCGAAGAGCACTCTGTTCCAAAGACCAGGATGGCTCAGGCGGCGCATGAGCAGGCCGGAAATGAAACAATGCTCATGACAGCTTGCGAAACGGTGCCAAAGTAACATCAATACCGAAAGCAAGCTGCAGCGGCTCCGCCAACGCTGCACGATACGAGGCAACAGTATTCGGCATAAGATGATAGTTCTGAAACAGCCACGAGAGAAAGGACAAAACAACCCTAACAGAAAGCAAAGTACAAAGACGAAGAGACAGAAAAAAACAAAAGGACCGCAAGGAAACTTCATACTGGTGCCGAGACGAAGCCCGCAGGTGGGACACCATCAAAGAAGTCACCTGATCACCATACAGATGGTGATAGACTCGAGTCAAAAGGACCAAACACGAAGACTCGAGGAAAAGAGCGAACCAGTCTCGTAAAGGACCGGACCGATCTGTTGAAAGAGGCGGAGCCGCGGAAAAACCTCTGGGTTTGGACACTGAGTAAGCAGTGCCTGAAACCAAGGCAAGGCTGGCCACCATGGGGTTAAGAGGACTACTCTCCCTTGGTAAGTCTCCAAGCGAGCTAGGTTCTGGAGCAACTGCTGAACTGGGGGAAAGAGGTATAGGAACCTCCACCTTAATTAGTCCTGCCGGAAGGCATCGATTCTGACGGCCTTGCGGTCAAGAAAGGGCACCACACATATACCAGAAGACGTCTCAACAACACTGACGCAAAAACGTCCACCTTTGGGCACCCGAACATCTGGCAGAACCAACTGAATGAGTCGGCATCAACCTTCCATTATGTGGACAGGGGAATGAAACTCGGACAGGCCATCCACCAAAACATTGGACACCCCCCAGACGTGAACCACTAGGAAAGCCAAACCCTGAGAACTCAGCAGACAAGTCACCCAAAGCGACCAGCCCCAAAGAGCCAAGGACCGCATTGAACCCCCTCAGTTCAGGCAACGAACCACCAGGGAGCAGTCCGAATGGAGCCGGATTGTCGATCCAAGGGTGACCCAAACCCTCTGAAGCGAAAACCACACTGCCGCAAACTCCCACACCATGCTGTGGGCCAGACGGAAGGATTGACCCCACCACCCCTGGCCAGCTTGGTGAGCACTAGTCATGAAGCCCCAGCCGAGAGACAACGTGTCCGTGAACACATCGAGCGAGGACTCGGGTAGGCGCCAAGGCACTGAACCCTGAAAAGCCCAAAGAGGAAGCCGACGACACAGCAGCCGATGCAGTGCCCCAGGGGGACGAACCCAGCGATCGCGAGAGAGGTGGGACGTCCTCGAAGGAACCAAAATAGCTGACAAAGTCAAACCCGACCCAGTAGGTAGACCATCATCGCAAAGTTCAGGCGCCCGCACAGTCCCTCTAGCAACCAACGGGTGACCTGGGAGCCTCCCCCCAGAAACAACCACATGCGGGACCGCAGCCGAAAGAGAAACTCCAGAGGAAAAGACAAGAAAGCGGTCCAAGAGTCCCACACAAGACTCAGCCAGGTCCGAACCTGGGAAGGAACCAGATGGGACTTCCGCCAGTTCACCAGGAACCCGAACAAGGCTAGTTGGGAAAGAACCAAACCCCTGACGAGCAGACACATGGGCCGACTGGGAGCCAAGACCAGCCAGTCGTCGAGGCAAGCCAACACCCGAACACCTAAAAGACACAGACGGGCCTCCACGACCAGGGTGAGGCATGTGAACACGCAAGATGCCAGGTTTAACCCAAAAGGGAGACAACGAAAGCTGTAACTCTGACGCCCCAAAATAAAACCGTGCCAGTCTCTGAACCCCGGATGAATCGGAATGTGCCAATACGCATCCTTGAGGTCCAGGGACATCATCCAAGAACCCGGTTCCAACAGAAGCCGGACCTAGGACAGAGTGGTCATCCAAGACGAGGGGGATGAAACCCCAAGGGTTCAGACGGGATAAGTTTAGAATGAACCGCAGGTCTGCACAGTCCTGTTTCGGTACTGGAAACAGGCGGGGATACCCACCTAAGAAACGTCGTCATTTTGACCACGCCCCCAAGTGCACCCACTCGGAGACGACCTGACAGAGCGCAGGAGTAGAGGTTTGCCTTGCCAGCCACGAATCCCCCGAAGGAAGAGGAGCCACCCAATGCCACCGAAAGCCGCGAGAAACAACCCGAAAAGCCCACAAATTGTGAGACCAGGTGCGAGCGAACAGAGCAAGTTTTCCCCTCCCCCATCGCCCCGTCAATGAGGTTAACCACGAAAGGGTCGATGCCCCTTACAAGAACCAGACCTGCACACAGAGCGAGCACTGCGCCGACCAGGCGCAGCCGGGATCGCAGGCAGCACCGCACCAAAACTGGCACCTGTGGCCCACCTCGAAGAGTGGAACCACGGGCCCTGGCACAACCCCTCTGGAAGGAACCCCACCTGGGACCTCCAAAGAACCAACAAGTCAGACATCAGGCGGCAGCTGGAGAAAGCTGCTTGCATTTATTGCTCGACCACAGAGGCTGCAAACAACAAAGGACAAAAGGATGAAGACAATCTAAGAGCCAGTGCCCAAACAGATTCCAAGGAAGAAGTGAGCACTACCTGCCGACACGCAAGATGTGCAGCGAAAAACCGCAACAGCGCATCCCACAGGGTCGGCGGAAACGGCTTCAAAAGGCAGACGACGCACGAGCAGCTGAGACCAATGCGCCAGACCAAGGAATGGCCCCAAGCACTTCTACATCCTCTGCAAGCCAATCCCAAGACAGCAGAAGAAGGGAAAAGAAACGCAGCCAACGAGCTCCGTGCACGCAAAAGGGAGGAAAGGAAAACCCCGCTCCTTATAACAAGCCCCGCTCGGAGGGTCGGAAAACCAAGCGGGGTCCAACAGGGCCCAAGGCCCCAAGTTAGCTTCTCCATGTCAGGCCCCAGGGGCAAGTTGTCCTCCAAAGCCCCGGCTTCAAAAGAAAAAGCCTGGGCAGCCGGAATAGCAGGAAGATGATGGGCCCACTGGTCAGATCCCGGAGCTATGGCTGGAGGAACGGATTCTATTGCCTCTGTAGCCTCCCTGGAAGGGGCAACCCCCGAAACCGCCCGAGTCTCAGACACCTCTAAACCCTGTTCTGACCTAGAAGCCTTCAGGTGCTTAGGAGCCAGAAACAGAGGGAGGGGGGGGGGATGAACCAAATGAACCATAACAGGGGAAGAACGAGAGGCACGGACGTAACCAAGGCCGAAGAGACCAACGCCCCAAGTCAGGGTCCCTATAAACAAAACAGGGCAGCCTCGGGGCATCCGGGGAAGCAACCAACCTAGCGCGCAGCAATAACCTAAACCTATCCTGCAAACCTATCCCCCCCCCCCCCCCCCCCCGCAAAAAAAGGCTTTCGACAGAGTTTTTTTTGTTGTGTTTTTTTTG